AAAAAAGACATGCCGGGACAGCATTCCACCATTATACATACATACATCTATACAATAGAGCACGTAAACACATGAATACAGTATTGCACATACATATGTCTACTCATAACTGTACGCACACACACCTACATGATAAATACATTGTTATTGTGGCTGTACGAAGCTGCCATACATTATTTCCCCAGTATATGTAAGTGCACTAAACAATGACAAAATTTTTCCTCATCGACTGCAATAGCTTCAAAGACCAAACTTACGTTTTCACATGAGCCCTTTTACCCTAGAAACAGTTTAAAAAAAAAAAAGTAAAGACCCCGTTCAAATTGCACAACAAAAATCGCGGAGAACAATAATTTGTATACAGGTCACTAATAAATTCATCTCTGTGTGGGTTCTGGGGCCCCAATGTGGGGGAAAACAAAAACAGACCCTTTGCCTCCTCAAACAAGCATGTCATAGGAGTAAGCTAAACTGGGGCATCCTTCAAAGTCAGAGTACATCTGCCTGAGAGGCAAGAAACCAACAGTTTGCGCACAAATAAGCCAGATTTGTGAAATGGATATGCACGCAGCACTCAGGTTTTGGAACAAGACTAAAGTCTGGAGGTGGACGAAAACTCATTGAACGCAAAGAAGGAAAAGAAGACGATTTTAAAATCTTAAAAATTCACACAAAAAATGTATTGTTTAAATTTAAATTTTGTTCTTAAAAATATATAAGGACTTTGGGGAAAGGGGGGGGGGGGATATCAGGAGCTCCCAAGCATCGCTCATGTGGCTCAGTGTTGTGAGCATAGAAGCCTTTCAGCCTCTATGCCAAGTACACAATTAATCTAGCGTGTATGTGGCTTCTCTGCCGTCCCTCGGCTCGAACCCTAGACCAGACACACATGAGGATTGTCACCTGACATCCAACACACTATCAACTACGCTGGAGTACCGGGTGTAAGGATATATAAAAGAAGTATTAAAAAAAATAGGGTGAAGCATTAACTACATGTATCAAACGACTCATGATGTGACCCCTATCACGATCATTCAGCTCAGAGGAAAACCTAAATACTGAATTCAGCCAATAGTTTCAATTATACATTTTGTAAAGAGGTCACTACAAAGTCAGAAAAGTGACATTTATGGGGAACAGAACCCAAATAGAATTGTTGGTATTTCAGCTTCTCGGGTCAAAAGAGTCAACTGCTTGATTGTTCTATGGAGAGATACTCCTGGAGTAATAAGGTCGATACTTTCAACTCTTAACAGACAAATATCTTATACTGTCTCAATAAAAATGATGAATGCGATTGATTAACTTTCAAGTGTGCTTAGCAACCATAATGTGATCTGATATTTGACCAAAGCATATTGTTAAAACCGCACAATTTGACATGTCAATGCATTCTTGACACAGTCATTCACTTCTCTTCTCAGTTATCCCCGTAAAGTGTTGGGGGTAGATCTTTCAGGTGCACTTCTCTTTTCATTCTTGCTGCCTGTTGTTTTCGGATGTGGAGGTCAGAGGTCTCTATGAAGTCTGTGGTGTGACGTATATCCTCCACTGTTCCATACAGCTTGGTTTCCATCGGAATTCCAACCGGCCAAACCTGGTATCTCTCTACTGCATGTAGAGAGCACGTCTGGTATCATGTTCGGTATTTTGTAGTGCTTGTCAGCATACCATTGCCACTACAACACCCCACCCCACTGATCTTATTGTTTTAAATTTTTTAAATGTTTTAAGTAACTCTTTTCATGTAGGTATGTTATCTATATTCAATGTAGCTATCAGTACCCTTGTTGTTGTTGTTATCGATCTAGTGGCACATGAGCTTTCGCCATTTCGCCCAATGCAAAATTGTGGACTTTACGTTTTCATAAGCTGTTCTTTTCCTCCATACAAAGTGTTCCACTTGTCTGGTCTCAGAGGGAGTAGCATTCTTCTAGTCTCGCTGAGTTTTGGACACTCAAAGAGATGATGCTCCACAGTTGTGTAGGGGTAGTAAAACAGCTGGCACTCTGGGGAGTGTTGTCGCTGTATTCCGTTTAGATGCCTATTGAGTGCAAATCATTACCCCTAAGCACACACAACAAATAATACTGAGGCCAGCAAAGTTCTGAATGCTCTGTTTTTAGGTGTCTGCTATTGCAGCTGTGGGAATACTTTCATATTTTTAATAACAATGAAATGCATTAAAAGGGTGTGGCAAATTAACAATATAAGATAAAAATGGCGCCAAATTAATTTCCCCATCACAAAATAACTGAGAAACTGCACAATATAAGTGTATACAGCAACCATAACTCAGTCAAGGGCAAAAGGCAAGATGGGCTAGCATGCCCAAATCTCAACCCTTCTGGAAATAACAATCATTTCATTAATTTGTTCATTCAACATCTTCAGGGAGAGTGTACCTGTTCCAGTGGCAGTGTCAGGAAGAGCTGCTAACTCAACTGATATAAGAAATTAACAAAACCTAAGGTGTTAGGAACCATTGTGGCTCTCTTTTTCTTAAGTACATAAACACAAGTGTTAATTAAAGATATCTTAAAGATTTGTAAACCTAATAACAAAAAAAATTCATATATGAAAAATAAATATATTTTTCTGTTTGAAAAACAAACAATTAAAAATCTCCAGTTTTATCAAAACTGAAACAAAACACAGTTACAAGATACCAAAATAGAACACTAGATGTCAAAAGCAATGAAAAAAAAAGCATTATGATGTCAAAGTAATAAACAACTAGATATGAAAATAAATAGGGTCAAGAACTTTAAAAAAAACAAATAGGATTTCAAAAATGACTCAAACAAAGAGGAAATAAAAAACAAAAACAAAAAAGATCAGCAAAAAATGACAACAGAGAAGATTTACTATTGCGGTAAAAGCAAGTGTCATGAATTTCAACAGTGTTAAAATAAAAAATAAAAATGTAATTAAACATAACCCAAAATGGGCGTGTAGGATTCAAAGGGGTACTATAACAAAAGCAAAGACTGTAAGCTGGTGACGTGCAGACTAACAACAGCGTCGCCATGGCTCTTCCATATGAAAAACATTGAGAACAGACAATTTTACGAAAGATATTCAAATCAGTGGATACTATAGTTTGCAAGTGATTCCTGTGTTGGCTCCTCCATTGCGGAAAGGGGTTCGGGGAGGGGGTGGGGAGTGGAAGGGAAGGGAAATAAAAAAAGAGAAATAACTCTAACAAACAGGTTGTGAAAGATGACTAATTTAAAATCTGCTGAATCAGGATGCTAGTATCAACAGTTATAAGACAGAGAAGATGGACACGTTCTGAAAGGAGAGAAGAATGGAGGGCCACCAAACAGGCACTGAAATGAGAAACAGAGAGACTGAGGCTATGAGGATGTCCAAGAGAAACACTAAGGAGAACACTGGTGAGAGAGGCCAAAGCTGCCGGACTGGATTCCATCCATGATGTTAAATTGATTGCACAGGGTAGAACAGAACAGAGAAATAGACTGCCAGCCCATATAATGTCATGAAAGGACAATAAATGCATGAATGAATGAATGAATCATGATGTGTTGCGTTCAAAGGCAAAGATATTGCAGTCTATCTGCAAACCACAACACAACATGCTGATCATCATTTTCACGCCATAGTGTACTGAACACATGGCCTTTACAGTTATAGACCAATCAGCGCTTGACGGGTGATGAAGACAATATCAAACAGGGCATCTTTACTTCCCAGAACAATTCCTTTAGACTGAAATTAGGCTGAATCAACCTCGGAACCCAGACCAGTTATAATAAATCATCCTCACAGTGGATTTGAAGAACTTGGAACCACAGGGTAGACTAGTCCCATACGTTTTCATACATAGGAAGAATAAATCAACATCTTCAAGGCCTGGCATCCGCCTCAAGTGCTTGAGGTCCCAGGTTCAAGCCCCAGGGAAGCCTGGGATATTTTCACGGGGACTTCTAGTAATTTCCCCTGGTCTCTAGGTAGTAAGATCGGACGCCCATGTGTATTGTTGTGCACAAAACAAAATCTCTTGGCAGTTGGAAATTAAAAAAGAGTAGCTTAACGGCGCTGCTCGGGCAAAATTGTGAGTTAAAAATCTACCCAAAGTATTTCAGGACCCTCGCTGGTGCAACAGTTTGTGCACTGCCAGGGGATTCTTTGGACTCAGGCTTGAATCAGAAGTAGAACGGAGCACTTATGTGTTACTACCCTTGTGCCGTGATGCTGGTCGGTTGTCTAAACCTAAACACACGTACAAGCATAGCTGGAGCTATGCTTGTAATGATGTTGGTGATATGTTTAGTTTTTTTACGTATGGAAACTTACGGGACACCCTGTACTTAGATGGATATCCCACACTTTACGGCATGGTACATGTTGATGATTATAAGATTCAAACAATAAAAATACAGGCTGTGGTGAACATTGTATGACTAGCAGATGTGACCAGGGAGGGCAAAACAATACAGCCAACATGGTTAAAAACTGTGAACAGGAGCGAAAAAAACAGCCAACATGGTTAAAAACTGTGACCAGGAGCGAAACAAAACAGCCAGCATGAGAAATATAGCTGATATATTTTACATGACAGCGTTAAAAAAAAATATCATGAAGTTTAAGACATATGCACGAGAACTGTGACTAGACTGTAACAAAACCAAATAGTAATGTAAAATAACCAATATACTTTACATAACTGATTTTTTTTTTTTTAAATAGTTAGATTTAGGCATAAAAATATCATTTTGTTGTCCATCTGAAAAAAAAAAAAAAAAAAAAGAGAAAACCAATTTATGCTGTTAATAAAGGCATACACAATATATAATTTAATACTGTATTATTATATGCAAAAGGTTAGTTAAAAAAAACATATGCTGGTGTTAATTAAAATAGTCTCTGTGAGGGTTATATGGCATTCAAATTAGCATATCATTTGTGCTTTGATTAACCCCACCAGGGTCAAAGTGTAGGCTCATGCAGGTGGTTTCTTCATTGAGACATGTCTAATACAAGTCTTTAATATCATCAGGTTTGGGTTCCATGTCATCATCTTCAAAACTCTTCGACTGGAGGGAGTGGTCGTTTAAAGCAGGGCTGGAGTTTTTGCTGGAGTGACTCGAACCAAGATCTGCAGAGAGGGTTGCCAGGCTATAGCACTTTCGACAAATCAAAGGGTTAAATGGGAAAATCCCTGCCTTTCTGAATGTAGTGTGGAGGTTCTCAGCCGACATGCTGCGGTGGTAGAGTCGGCAAATGAACTCACAAATTGAGGCTGAGGATAAAGGCGCGGTTTCAGAAGTGTACAGTGGCTTCTGCAGTTCATAGCAGAGTTCTCGTTGGAGGGTATCACAGCATCCAACAACCATGGGATGCAGCTGAGGGCTAAGTGTGACCTGTGCTGTCACAAATACAACCTTGAATGCTGAGCCAATATCAAACACTGCCTGGTTGAGAGTCCGTGCCAAGCTGGCATCTAAGAGCAGAACCAGGGTGTCTCCAGCTCTTCCCGGAGCCTGCGACAGAAAGTGATCCCTCAGAAATGAAACCAGGACTTCAGACGTGGCTCTGCCGGAAGGACAGACCATACCTCCAGCACCTGGAGTCAGACCCGACAATATAGACTTATCCATTGCTTTTCCTGCAAACAGCAGAAATGGAGGTAAGGCTTGCCCGGCGGCACTTCCACAGATAAGAATGCTGGAGGGGACATTTCCTGCAAATGTTATCTTGTGGCTGGACTTCCCTCCATTGATACTGCCTCTGTGGATGCTCAAATCTTCAGCTGTAGATATTTCACCATTTTTTAACATGGGCAGGGTTAATTCTACTAAACTAAAAATACAGTGTGGACTTTCCTTAAGGTTGTAGGTGGTCAGTATCGAGTCTAGCTGATTAAAATACTGCTTTTCAGGTTTCTCCGATTTGGTTTTTATGGTCTTTCTGATGTAGCATTCTGGGTGTCGAGTAAGAAAGCTTCGAAACCACTTCACTGTGAGTGGCCTCCCTTGCGGACGTTTCCCAAGGTGTATAGCATATTCGGAGGCCATCTTCACCACATCCAACCTGGTATACTTAATTCCCTGCTCCTTCCACTGTTTCAACTTTCCAGCAATATTCGATTCCTCTGATTCAGAAAAAATGGGCCGACGGCCTTGAATGATGACATCATTGTCTGTGACCAGTGGACTTGGAAAATCCAGGTAATGGTCCTGCCAGTCTAGGCTCCTTGGTGTCTCGACTGTTGTAGAACTCCAGCATCGGCTTCATGTCCATGACCCCAGCATGGCCATTTTGTGACTTGAGCACCATGTCTGAGACAAGGCTGGGGTAGTGGAGCTTCCCTGCATCAAAGTCTCCGTCCACACAGTCATAGCCATTCCAGTCAACAGCAGGAGCACAGATGGGTGCTGATGGGTCAGTGTCCATGTGTCCATCCTCCTCTCCCTCTTTCTTCCTGACATGCTGAGGTTTTATCTACAATGAGAAATACCACCAGTTAATGAGAATAATCAATAAATTACAAGGGTATATAATTACACTACAATAGAAAACACCATAGTGCTGAAATAAGTACACTGCAAAATGAGAGAAACAATTATTAAAATGGTAAGTGAATACCAATGACACATTTAAACATTATAAAGAGAAACATTACAGACAAGTAGATAAATTAAGATGTTTAACACCACCACATCACAAAGTTAAACATCGCCATATAACAATGTTAACACATTACAGTTTTAACACCTTCACATTTAAGTGTTTAACACCACCACATTACAATGCTTAACAACACCACCGCCACCAAATTACAATGGTATCTGAGTATATTACAATGAGAACAGACACCACATTGCAACATTAATTAAAGACACCACACTGGGGCACATCACAAAATTACAGCTCTAAATAAATAAGTCATTAAACATATGACTAAATTAGTTAAACAAAAAGGAAACCTAAAATATGGTAAAAATGACTGTAAGTACAGCTGAACATAAGTACATTACACTGACAACATGTCAGCTACATTTAAACATTACAATAATAAGCGCCACCAACTTCCAATTGTAAGTAAACAAATTGCAATGAGAAACGACCACATTACAAGCATATGTAAACATACTACACTGAGAAAACACCATCACATTACAATTAGAAGTAAACAAATTACTGTGAGAAAAATTCAGTCCAACATCTTTGGCTTCTCTCATTAACTTTCACTTTAGGGTATCTCTCGTTTCCTCAATCCTTCAATTTCCCATTTCAGTGCCTGCCTGGTTATTCTCTGTTCGTCTCTTCTCCAAATGTGTCCAGTATAGCGCCATCTCCTCTGATAACAATGGCTGCCCAGACATTTCTCTTATTTCTTCACCTCTCTTGAATTAATCCCATTTTATATTCATAATTTTCCTCAGGTAATTGTTTTCTAAAACAGTCTTACAACAAATCTTTGGACCCATCAAAGATACAAACAGCGGAGAATGGGGAGTGAAAAGCAACAACAAAATTCATAATTGTTTAAATCACTACTGATCAACTGGCATCATGAGAGCTAATAGACTGAAATGGTTGGGGCCTATTGAAAGAATGTCAGATGACAGAGAAGTAAAAACTGTATACACAAGGGAGATGAATGGTCGCAGACCACAAGGAAGACCAAGAAGACGATGGAAAGATAATGTCCAGACAGACCTGCAAACACTTGGTGTCACCAACTGGAAAGAGAAGATCAACTAGAGAGATGAATGGAGGCAGGTGATATCTGCAGCAATGATCCTCATTGGCTCAGAATGCTAAAGAAGAAGAAGAATTGTTTTCAAATGAATTAAACGTTCCATATCTTTAGTGCTTCTCCAATTTTTATTGGCAAATGTTAAAACTGAAAAAAATTTACATTCCTTCAAGTTTACGAAGCAAATAGTTTTTTTTACAAATGGAGGAGCTGGCCCAACTTCCCTCTTTTCTCACTGAAGCGTGGGACAAGCAATGGCAGAGATATATTTATATTAGGGCACTATTTATATCTAAACAAAAATACTTTCATCAAGTATTTTAACATGGTGCAGGATGTAAACCTTTCTGTAAAATGGATCAGCATGCAAAACTCATATTCCGGAACAACACTGAAGGCCAGAAATGGTCAAGCAAGTAGAACTTTTCTTAGTGTGGGTTCTGTGATCCCAGTGTGGGTTCTAGGACCCACACAAGAATAGGCCCACTGCGTCCCCAACAAGCATGTTTTAGAAGGTGAATAATTGGGGGTTTCCTTCGAAGTTGGATTGTATCTGCCTGAGAGGCAAGGAACCAACCATCTGCATACTGTTAAGTCAGATCTGTTAAATGGATGTGCATGCAACACTTAGTTTTGGAACATGACTAAAGTTCACAAGTGGATGAATAGCCACAACTTTCCACCACAGTGTACAGTCAGCCAGTCAAGGTGAAGAAGAGAAGAGGAAGAGATAGGATGCTCTAATATAACAGAGAAATGGAACAAGAATAAATAATTGTGTTCCATAAAAAGAGTTGCAAATGAATTTATCCTGCATCCCCTTATACTGAAAAAGATAATAAATTAAAGCCTTTCTGACGAAACCCTCTGATACTAAATAAGTCAGGTAAATATGTTTTAATCTGCCCTTTTTTCTCAAGAAGTTGTTTATCAACTAGCTGGTTCTTGTTCTTTCCCTAAAACACCTTTTATGAAACAGATCCAGGAAGCGAAAACGCCCAAAAGGAACCCTACTACAAAAGCTGTTAAGACAGGTCTAAGGGTCTGAATGATAGAATACAAATACCCGATATTAAACAGATACCATAGGATAAACAGAATAAGCAATCTACTGCAAGCCTATGTGACGTAAAACGGCCAAACAGAATGATGCTAATGATATCTCAGACGCCCGTATACATCGATAAAGAAACACCTTTCTGGATACAGTCATTCTTACATCCATATCGATTTCTTCTACCTGGTTCAGGTTGTTAGCTCGCCTTTGACTTGCTCTTCTCTATCAAACAAACGCGGCGTTTAAATAAAGTTCTTTGTTGCGTGTACTGTTGACGGTTGAATGAATAACATAGACAGCGTCATTACAACAAAACCTCCTTTGAGAAAATATGTAGGCGGTGTGTTCCCCAAGCCGGAACCAACCCATTTTAGAACGCAACACGGGCGACCTGGCCCTAACGTTAGCCCGACAGTACGCCATTTCGGGCTTTTGGACAAGTTCACTGTGAGCACTTCAATTACTCACCTGTTTGAATCGCATGCTTTCTCGCTACAAACTATATCACTATAATCGATGTGAGAAAGTTCTAAAAGCCATTTAACAACAGATCAACAATTTAAAGTTGATAGTTGAAGAAGAAATAAGCATTATTCCATGAGCTATTTCGTAGATAGAAATCAACAAGGGCGTTTGCCGTCTGCGTTGAGTAATTTCACGCGCGTAGCTAGACGGCAGTTTAAGGGGCGAGGAACAAGGAGTGCAGCAGTAATAAAAGAAGTGGGAATTGTATCAACAGATATGCAACAGTGGTAAACTGGTAGTGCCTGTGGATGAGAATCCTGTGGACTATCAAAGGGAACTAGAAAATGATTTCTATTTTTTCGCATTACCGTTTTAATTATTTCATTCTTTTAAATAGGTCAGTTAAGTGAAGTTAATGTATTTTTGTTCGTATTTAATAAATTGTAGGTGTATGCATCGTGCTGATGAAGGCTCTCTAGCTGCAACATTCACATGTGTTTGTAAAACTGTGAAGCTGATAGGTTCTACTTTCGTTTGGTTTGATATTTTTTCGTGATATTTTAAATCTTTACCGAACTTGTACTATCTGTTTGTGCCGGTCTAACTCGTTTGCATTTGTTATTTTATTGTCATTATTATTATTATTACAATAAAACTTCAAATAAACGGTCACTCGTTTGTTGTCAGTTTCGGTTATCCATCATCGTCTGAAATATGTGTATCGACGAACAGACATCTTTAAAATTGTCTAGGGATTAATGACACACCCTGCATAATTGCATCGTTATGAATATAAAAAAAAAAAAAAAAACTTTTATTGAAGGCTTGCTTACATCTGATGATGTCATGACTGTCAACGAATATTCGAAGAAATATAACATAGTTTGTTTGTTTGTTTGGGTATCCAGAAGCCATGAGTTGTTAACCCTTAGGCTCGGTATTATGGATATCGCAACCTTTCGGCCTTGATTCCATTTAAATACCGTAAATCTGGGAGAAATGTGGCTTTTCTGCCCACCCCCGGGAGTGAACCCGGACCACAAGGAGTTCGTCACCCGCTCACCGCGCAATCCGGTTTAGCCAACTACGCTAGAGAGACGGTCTAAATACAACATAGAGAACAATATTTTCAGTATCGCCGCTGCTTGGGCTGACCTATGGCCTAGTTCATGGCAAACTTACAGTGTCTAAGCTAAAGAATGGAGGGAACAGACTCTCTCCTGAACCTGCTGAAGAAACTGAATCAACTGAAACTGCTAGAGTTAGCGAAATAGTGTAACTATACAAACGTGTAAGGTTAAACAGTGAAAACATTACGCCAAATGAAGTAACAGATTGGCTGTAATGTGACAAAATAGATGAACGATTTGTAATTTTGAACGATGCTGGAATTGTTTTTAGTGCTACCACCGAGGAGGAGAAATTGGTGATGATGTAGACCGGCTCCTAACCAAAATCCCACAACTAGACACGCAGAACCAGAAAACAATGTTATCAAAGTGCATCTACTGGTTTGAAGTGGAAGATGAGGCAAATGTAACACATATCCTACTTCTGCGCAAGATTCAGATATGGAACATGGCCGAGTAGAAAGCTGGAGCCTCAAAGACACAGAGTAAGTAAGAAAGTAAAGGACCCTTTTCAACGCCTTTAGGCGTATATGGCATATAGGGCTAGAACTATATTTTATAGAAAAGACACAGAGAAAGATGACAAATTATTTTAATGTAACGTAGGTGTATATGATTACAATATATTTCTACACATTGCACTCTTATATTGAAATTTATATTGATCGCTTTGTACAATTAAATACAGTGTGTGTGTGTGTGTGTGTGTGTGTGTGTGTGTGTGTGTATTATTCACTATTAAAGGATTTCATTTTCGTCCTTTTTTGTTTGGTTTGATATCTTTTCATAAGTTCAATAGTTGAAGCATTTTAAGCGATTTAGGTGTAAACGAGAGAAGGGAACAAAAAGTACACCAATTACTTAAAAACCTGGCATAATATAAACTATTGGACTGCCAGAGTAACTAACCAGAAGTTATGGAAAGAAGCTAATAAAAAAAAAAAAAATCAATATATACAGCTATAAGGAAAAGACAAGCACTGTTCTTTGGCCATGTGATGAGTGGGGAAGGCTTTGGAGACTACTGTGACAACTGGGAAGATGAAGGGAAAAAGAGGAAGAGGCAGACCGAGAGAGATCATGATGAATGGGTTGCGACGGTGGTACGGAAAGATATCGTCGGTGGAACTGATCCAGAGGACAAGGAACTGAGTTCTGAAGATGTGCGTGAACGCCTATGCCAGTCGACAGGGCACGTGATCATGATGATGATATAATGAACTAGGGCTTTTTTTTTTCCTTCACGGGGTACGCAGCAGAGGTATCTTTTAAAACTTTTTTTTTTTTTGACAACTACGGTTGAAATCTACGAACGGCAAAATTGCGTGCTTTAAGTGCTATAGCTAGTACTGTAGCTCCAAAATGTGCAGCTAGATCCGTTCCAAAAGTCGTGGGCTAAAATTTTCATAAATTGTATTTCAATATCCAGAAACCACAAGTTGTTAACCCTTTGCTCGGTACTATGAATATCGCAACCCTTCGGCCTTGATTCCATGATAAATACCGTAAATCTGGGAGAAAATGTGGCTTTTCTGCCTACCCCGGGAGTGAACCGGACCACAAGAAGTTCGTAACCTGGTCACCGCGATGTCAGGTTTAACCAACTTCGCTAGAGAGCCGAGCAAACTTTCATAAACATATCAGCAGCTACTGTACGGATCAGCAAAGTCCTGAAATATTGCGGCAGTCGCCGTGGCAGAGTGGTTAGACGGATCGGAAGGTCGTGGGTTCGCTCCCTGGCGGAGTCGGACATTTTTTTCAAAAATGACCTTGGCTCCCAGGTCTACCCAGTCTTGAGTGGGTACCGGGTTTAGTCCCGGGAAGTAAAGGTGGCCGGCGTTAGCTTGACCACATCACCCATCTTGTGCCGATTGATCTATTCAAATATGCCCTATACGCCTGAGGGCGCGGAAAAGGGTCCTTCACTTTTTTACTGTACGGATCAGCACGAATTTGTGCATATAGTCTTAGATTTCCGGTGTCCTTATGATTTCATAAATTGCAGTTGCACATATGCCGCTGTTTACCTACGGCAACAAACTTTTTTCGATGTTTGTCGGACTAATAATTTGTGTGCTTCTTGATTCAAGAACCGACATCACATTACTCGGGGCATTCCCATAAGCGCTCCGTCTCCAGCGAAGAGTTCCAACACCATTGGTGCCGGCAGCAGTATAATTATATGTCCATCTTGAGCCCCGAGTATCAGTCAGATCTCCTCGTAACTTCTCGCTGCATTATTCTCACCAGAATGTGATGATCCATTTGCTCCTCCAAATTGCACACTCACTACCATAAGGCCTTAACCACGTCTGTCTTATTATGCATTAATATTCCACCAAGTTTGCAGAGGCAGCTAGTCTGACCGCCTGTTCATTTCCCAACACACCGGCAAAACCCGAAGAAAAGTTCCAGACAATGCTCCTCACCAGTGACCTCCGAGGATTGTCACTCTGCATGAAGCATGCCTGACATCACCTTCCTCAACATGCTTTGCTTTTTGAGTCAGATGCAATCACGATGTGTGTGTATATCGTGTTCTCTAGCCAGCGGAAAGTGGCAGTGACCGCCTCAAACTCCATTCTTAAGCTGGATGTTGTGGTATCATATGCTAAATTGTCATGCACCAAACGAGGACCATGAGCTTTTGCTAAGAATTCCGAAGCACTTCCTTTGCTTCTAATTCCTTACGTCCTTCTTAGGACGTTATTTTTTGTTATTTGAAGCCCCACTCTGGCTTTTGCCAGGGGCCGCAATATAGGCAGGTCATCATTATGGCCAAATGTCTGAACGCGGTTTCTGGGACCTCTCCACGGTGATCCTCATCAGCATGGTGGCACTTTGTGTCATCGGGTGTTTATCGCTTGTGTGATGTCCTGGTGGGGTAAAAAGCCAATCCAATCCAATCCTTTGCTTCTTGACACTGAACCGTGTGTATAAATAATCGCATCAGCCGAGCGAGCATTATCTATGATTAATCACTAAATTCCCACCCCATGGCACCTGCTGGCTACTACTTGCACTCCCGGCTGAATATAATTATGACTCTTTACAAACCTGACTGACACAAGTCCCGGAAACCCCGTTCAACCGTTAGACTGTATTTAGAGCCCCTGCCAAAAGCCGGAGTTTGGCCTCAAAATAACCAAAAATTGCGTCCCATTTTGGGGCTACACGTTTTAATTTGGTATTAAAGCCGCAATATTAGCTCCCTTCGATCCTTGCGCTTTCGATTTTGGTATGTTTCCAAGAATGATTCCAAGGGAAGTTTTTGATTACACGTTTTTCTTTTTACATTTTATTTCTCCTTCTCTAAGGTTATAGTATATTAACATTTCAAGATTAAGAATCAGATAGCTACAAATCCCGGAAATCCCATTCAACTGTATATCTATATACAAGTTATATCCAGGCAACACAAAACGAATGCAAAGTAATGTGCAGTCATGTGTGGATGATGATCATAGTATACCAAATTTCGTCCTTTTTAGGACGAAATTTTTTGTCATTTGAAGCCCTACTCTGGCTATTGCCAGGGGCCGCAATATAGGCAGGCCATATATATGGCCAAATGTCTGAACGCGGTTTCTGGGACCTCTCCACGGCGATCCTCATCCACATGGTGGCACTTTGTGTCATCGGGTGTTTATCGCTTGTGTGATGTCCTGGTGGGGTAGAAATTCAGTTTCAGTTTCAGTGTCTCTGTTCAAGGGAAGTTATACGAGAGCGGTGCAGTGTAAAACGTTTTATTCGTGGATTATGTTTCTTATGTTTCTTTACTGCTGTCGATTGCTCTTCATTTACGCCCGACCCGCTGTTAATGTTCTGCAATTCGACTGTAAATGAGGATTTTTGACCTTTAATTTATATCACATCAGCGACCGGGCT